ACACATCAGGCTGTTGGAACTGGAGTCACCTCTCAGTTCTGGTTTTCAGACCCATCTCCCTCCACCTGGCTGTGGGCTAGATTACACCCCCCCACACTTCCTGCAGTTTGCAGAAATCAAAGTCATCACTTTCCTTAGCCAGAAAACAGTCTGATTTCCCTGCCCTGCATCGGTAACTGAAATAACCGATGTGGTACCTTCTGTGCACACCTTCTCGTGACGGGGTGCAGAACCAGCTCTTTCCTGTTGTCCAGACAATTCCCCACCAGCCAGCAGCACCAGGTGATGCACGGGTGACAGGGCGAGGCTGGAGCACCCCCGGGAGAGGACACAGCAGGGAACCGGCAGAGAGCAGTGCAGCGGGCCCGCTCCCCATGGCCAGGCTTTCAGACCCTCCCAGCCACTGACGATAGACCAGAGACACCACCACGGTGCCTGTTCTCCCCGAAAGCTCAGTGCAGCCAGTCCTGCTGCCACAGACTAGGAGCACTCCTCAAGCTCAGGCAAAAAAAAAGTCACCCTGTACACGCTGCAAACAGCGGCTCTCGGCTATGAGTGGCATTTTCCTTTCTTTGATTTAAGGCAGTTCCCAGCAGCAGAGCTGCACTTGCCACCCCACAGCCTGTGGCACACTCTCCTCAACACCCCGAGTTCCCCTTTCTGGCCCTGCACCACTGACAGATCCTACTCTCCCTGCTGAGGTTTTGGGGTTGGTTTTTTTCCCTCTTTGCTGATTTCCTGCAGCCTTCTCACCCTCAGGCTCAGACTGCTCCATGTTTTGTGGGCAGGACTGAGGACAGGCTGGTGTGTGGAAGAGCAAGGACCTTCCAAAATCCCACCCCACTGTTAGCATCCACCTCTGGGGCACGGGGCGGTCAGGTACGCAGGCTGAGCGGAAGGGGAGCTGGTGCCCGTGTGCATTTTATGTCACAGCAGCCTCCCCACCACCACAGGATGTTACTGTCACGCTAAGGAGCCTTAACAGATGGTAACGACCCAAGACAGATGTTAAACCCAGTGAGCAGCCCACACCCAGGCACCCTGTACCCTGAGCAAGAGCCTCACTCCAGGTGTCACCAGGCTCAGGGCGCTCTGCTGCGGGTGCCCAGGCTGCCCTGCCAGCAGCCCTGCTCTGCAAAAGATGGTTTGAGTTCGGCTCCTTCCCTCTCCCCTCTCTGTTCCTTTCTCACCTGTGCGGACACGATGCCAGGTGAGACCTCCCACGAGTTCTTGCCATGGTTTATCGTTTGTACACACAGGGGCTCCTGCTGACCGCTCCGAGTTCTACCACGGAAACAGTGATGAAGACATTAATAAAACATGGATTTTTAACAAAGATAAAAGGTAGACAAGTCTATTTGTAGTGATCCCTGCCATTAAAAATTGACAGGCTGCTGATGGCTCGGTTGCCCGCTGGGGTGGAGGGAGAAGAGAGATCAAACCCTCGTCCTGTGCATCTCCAGTGACGTGTGCTGAGCTGTAGAGAGCACTGATAGACTTCAGCTGAGCCTACGGAAGAAACAAAATGAGAAACAGAGCCTGAAGCCAAGTCCCCCTTTGTGGTTCCCTCTGATCATTTCCCACAGTTTAGATGTCTTCACAAGAAGAGAAACTGCCTCCGTTGTCACAAACACCCCCCTGTGGGGAGGACGGGCAGTACTCACTCTGTAAGGCTCAGTCCCTGCGACAGAACATACAGCCCTAACTGCTGAAAAGAAAGAAAGGAATAATAATAAAAACAAAACCACAGCTGACACGGTGCTGCTCATAATGCTTTTCTTAAACACTACCCTTACACTGCCAGCTGAGATGCTGCTGCAACTTGGTTATCATTCAAACTGGACTGTTTTCTATAGTTGATGTTATTAACTCTCTTCACACAGGCCAAACAAATGTTACGGTGCTTAAAGCATTACCAGCACAATCCCACTGCAGCCCTCGGAACACACTGCATGTAACGAGCCTCAGACTCACTCCTGGATTGATTTTCTGTTTAAAAGCATCGTGTCCTTTCTCAGCTGACGAGGTCAGAATATTTTGTGATATTTAACAGCAACAATCTTTTTTTAAAAAAAAAAACCAAACAAAAAATAGTTCCATATTATGCATATAACTTCCTGTTGAACTGGTTGATTATAAATAAACACCTGTAGTGCATAAAGCCCGTTTCAAAGGCTGCTTATAGCGTGTGTGTGCAGAGCAACGCTGAAGTCATTCCAGTTGCTTCCACTAGTGTTTTGTCACTTTCAGTAAAGTCTTTCACATTATTTTCACTTCTTATCTTTAACCATGAAGGAGGACACGAGACATTTACATTACAGACGGAACCAAAGGCAGCCAAGACACAGAAGGAGAGCACTCCTGATTTACCCGCATGGCTCCTTCTGCACAGTAACAGGGTGAGGAGGCACAGGGTGCACAGCTGGACCCACTGAAGTCAGCCACAGCAGGATTTAGCTTTGAGATTCAGTCCAGGATACTTCTGGCTTTTCATTGTCACAATTATAGTATTATATATACGTATATATTTATTAGAATATGGTTTATTTTCCTGTACAGTAGCAGCCAAATCTTATTGCTTGTACAAGAGAATTATTTAGCTCCACATCTTACAGCACACAATCACTGAAATTCACTTGTTTCTGTTCTATGAATACTTCTTTATTCCTCTCTCTCAAATAATATAAACTCCTAAAGGTTTCTTCTTCCATGTAGTAATTACCATTTGAATGCAGCATTGTGTGGTTTATAATAGGGAGAGGAAGGAACTGGACAGAAGCTGTACAAATATTTTATCCTGCATCAGCAGTATGGCTGCTATGCGAACACACCCCAACCCCTCCCTGCCCACAAACTGGAGAAGAGCTGGTTCCTCGTTCAGTGCACGGGGCTCCTGCTGCCTCCCCCGCGCTCAGGGGTAGGACAGCAGGTTGTTAACGTGGAGAGAGTCGAAGGCATTCACTCACCCCTCAGCTTCACTGTCGTGCTGTAACCGTGGCACCAAAGGTAAGCAGCAGAAACCAGCAGCTGATGGCGGCGTTTGTTTTCAAACCAAACTCTTTATTAACTTTGTCCATGAGGATTCTTGCTAAGTGTGAATGATCTTCACAGACACCCAGTTAGACAATTCACAGTCAGAAAACGAGTCAGGACTTGCCCTGGGAAATTCTGCTTGGATTCCGTGGTGAATTCTGGTTTGTCACCGGTACCGTACCGCAGCGGGCAGGTCGCTTCAGCTCCTTGGATTTTGTCATTGCAGCTACAATGATACATTCTTCTTGTGCATTCATATAAAGAACAAAATTTAAAATATACATTTTATTTTTTAAGAGTTATTAAATATTCTTTAAAGTTTACAACAGAATGGCTTTTGTATTCTTTATAATCAACTCCACACCAAGCCCTACAGTGAGCATACACATACCCACAGGTGTGTGTAACTGCACACCCCCTGTACCCAATAAAAACCCAAACACAGCATACTTCTTCTTTTTTGTCATTTCTCATTACCTATCTTGGATTTGATCTGTCCTTCCTTATAATTTTTTTTATTATTATTTAAGTGGCTTACTCATTCCCAGGGAAATTTACACCCCTTCTGCTTCCTCTTAAGGGCAGCCTGACATTCTGTGACAGTCGATAACAATTCAGAAAATACAGGGGGAGCAGGGTTACAGTTTAACAAAACACACCCAAAACCAATAATTTTTTTGGTTTCGAACTTGTCTGTTACTGATAATTTTGAAACAAGGACTTCTCTTTTTCTGAGGTAGTTGCTTAGATTCAGAAGT